ATCTCTAAAAATGCAGTCACACAGTAGGATAGTTTGGGAAGTCACTGGGATTCTCCTCAGGATCTATGACATCCCCTACCTTTTCTTTTTTTTGGACTAAAAAAAAAAATAAGTGTTCCTCATTGAGCCATTCCCATTTGGTTTTCCTAATCCTACCTTGAAAACCTGAACCTTGAATTCTTGAAGACTAGAACCATTGATCATTATCGAGAGTTTTCTCAAGTGACTCCCGTCATTTGGGATGTAATTAACTATAGGGGCTTGCCTCTATAGGGAACTTGGAACCCAGGTAAAATAAACCCTATTTAATCTTTGTATTAAATAGGGGAATTTGTCGGTCATATATAAAAGGTTCGCAGACCAAACGGATGTCACAAATCTCTTAGTTTGCAGGATTGGGTCTATCGCTGAGGTCTACACTTATCTCTCGGGAAGGTGTAGCATTCGCGGTATCAGGCACGATTATGCAAACTATCAGACCAATGAACCATTTGGTCTCATTTTTCAAAAATTAAAACATACTGCTTTCAAAACCCAAACTATATATTTATTATATTAAATTAAATTTCCAAAATTATATTTTCATATTCATATTTTCAAATCTATCTAAATCGAAGAAAAAGTTGACCGACAAAGTCATCAATATTTCTCGTGATTATACCTAGGCAATTAGCTTTAGCCAATCAAACAGAATAAGTGGGGGCACAAATGGCTCTAATGTAATCTACAATCATTTAGAGGTTGATCCAGATCAAAATTTTCATATCCAACTCTAGCACAGATGCAAAAATTGGTAAATCATTTCTACTATCATACCTCATAATGCAGTATTTTGTTTAACTCATAAACTTAAGAAATTTTGAAAAAATTATGTTTAACTACGATTACTAAATGGCAAGGATTATTTATTTATTTATTTATTTATTTATTTTTATTTTTATTTTTATTTTATTTTATTTTATTTTTTGAAACTGTTTGACTTCTACCCCAATGGAAGAATGCCCTTCAAATGGATTACACCATGCTATTGTGACAGAATTACATCCATGCTGTTGAGAAGAATATGATACTAATTTGAATTGATTAGTTCTTTTTATGACTAATAATTGATGTATACATGTGCAGGGTTAACTTCAAAATAGCCCCTCGACAATTTATATGCAGATAATAATTTAGTGTCAGAGTATCACATTTTTCCAACTTAGTCTCCCAACTATACAAAATAATTTCAAAATTGTACCTTAGGGACTAAATTTGAATATATTTTTTATATTCAATAAATTTGTATTGCAATTTATACATGCAATTTAGAAAAAAACTAAGTTGGAAAAATATGACTCTTTGAGACTAAATTAGTCAAACATGAATAATCAGAGGATCATTTTGAGATATATATATATATATATATAGATATGCAACAATCATCTAAATAATATCGAAAAAGGCTTAGGATTGTGCCCTAATTAATTAGAAAATATTTGGAAAATAATAATAATAATAATTTCATAGTATTTTAAATAAATACATGAACTAATGCATGAAAGCGTTTAAAATAATGATCATAAGCTTTTGAGATTTATTTATTTAATAAATGCATGAAATTGTGCATGATAAACCCATTCGGTACACATACCATTGGTTAATAGCACAATTTTCATATTGTTGACATCATAATGTTCAACCATATCTAAGGTCTTTCATCCTAGGTAAACAACAGTCATATAGTTCACCTATTGTGTAAGAAAATAAAGGATGCTGCCAACAAAATGAATACTCTAATTTGCAGAGTTATCAATAGATGGCAGTGCCGGCATTTGCATGCATTCAGACGGTGTCTGGTAGAGTAATTTAAATAGGATTTAGCGTAAATCAAGCCAAACATTAAAAAAAAATAAAAACTAAATCCAACGCTCCATTAAATCAATTTTTTTTTGTGTTCCTTCCTTTCTTCCTGCATTGGGTCTCTTTTAGGGTGTAAATCTGGATTTAGAAAATCCAATTCCGAGATGGATTTAAGAATTTCTTTCTGACGTTGCTCGCAAGCTCATCTCCATCGCACAAACTATCGGATTTACTGGATTGATAAATCCTATTTAACATAAATTCAAGTTGCAGTCAAACACGCCTTTAAAAGATTACAACAAAATGAGAAAAACTTTTATGATTCTGATTTGAGATGGTCAATGACATAAACAGGAAAAAGAAAATGAAATAGTTAATATAATTAAAGACAGAATTATAAACAATCATAAACCATTTAGAAATGCCTTATACAAATATTTTGTTGGTGACTACAATGTTTATAGAAACTTTTAGCAGAACAAACAATGCTCTAAACTCAAATCGTTCAGTGGAACTATATGACAATTGTTTAAAGGAATAAGAAAAACATACGAGTTTAATTGGCTCAAGCGGCTCTGAAATTGAAAGGGTTAAGTCTTCATTCCATTCTGGGTTGACATTGTTCTTAATCGCATTGGTCTTCAATTTCTGTGCTACGAATATGAGACGTGAGAACAGTGAAATAATATTATAAATAGAAGTAAAATCACTAAAACATTAATAGAAAAATAAATAAAAATTGTTAAGACATCCTGCACAAAATAAGACAAATTTAAATCTACAACCAATTGCGATGGCTATGTCCTCCAAATTTCAATGGGCATCTAAACTCTATTCCTTTGTGGATAAACCCTTGATTTTGGGTTGCATGCCACGTTCATTGTGTTCCAAGGGTGACTTCCCGGGCAATTAATAAATTAATATGAGAAAGAAGTGCAGCAGAAGCAAGACCTTTGCTTGTGGCCCCTCAAATTTTGAAAAATATAACACTACAATTTACCCAAAAAGGCAATGCAATAAATATCCCATGTATTGAATTGGAAATCATTTCAAGTTTGAAGAAAGGTGTAAAACATAGATACCACAATCAATCAATAAAAATATGACAAAAATTTCTTCAAATTGAGTGCAGTAGGAACTAATATTAAGGATTTATAATAACAAAATAAAGAGAGATTTACAAAGAGACCACACAATTCCTATGTACTTCTATATATATAACTTGAAATTTGTAATTTACATTCATAACACTTTGTTGTCATAAACCTACAAATGAATAGATGCATTTCACTTTTAAAAGTTAGTAAGAGTGGCATATTTTATGAAATATTAAAGATTTGAGTGTTATGCATGTAAAAATGAAAATTTAGGTGTTAAGTATGTAAATGCATAAGAATTGTGTGGTACGTATGTAAATGCCCCAAAATGAATTACATTATAGCACCACACAATGATAATAGAGAAATAAAACCAAATGAAGATAAGAACACCAAGACTTCATTGCATCCATGGGTAAAGAGGCACAAATAATTTCTATATTAAAAGCTTGGATGAGTATACCTAAAGAACAGTAACAAAACATATAAACTAACAAGAAGCTGGAGAATATCTCACTAAATTTAGAGTGTTTTCATAAAAAAAAGCATTAAAAAAAAACAAAAACAAAATCAAAAGGAATTCCTCACACAGAATCTCCAAGAATACAAGCAGATACATATCCTTTTCCTTCAAAATTTCATAATCAAAATCTTCTCTATTTGGATCGCAAACTCTTCGCTCAATTACTCGGAGGACATGCTGCAAGGAAACCCATGCATCCCTTGTTCACACGTGGTTCCAAAGGCATCCACTCCTTTCTCACAATTGGAAGAAAGCTCATGTATAATTCAATTTGTAGTTGAATAAGATAGAGCATTGGGGAAAGTACAAGGTTGACCATTATATTTAATGTATTATAACAAAACTCAAGGTCAAATATAACTTGATACACCAAATAAATCAACTCAATCTTTATCTCAAAAGTCTAAACCTATATACGTGAGTGAAGGGGCTAACCATTACAATGTTAACATCAACATAGTTCTTAGCCATTTGACGTAATACAAACACCAACACTCTCACAAGCTTTAATATGTGGTACATTTCTATCAAATGTTTCATTAAAATTAATAGAAATTAATCAAAAAACATGCTTTATAACACGCATGAAAACAGTTAAATCTGGGAGGTGCTGACATCTTATTTCATACTTCTTATTTATTGTAATAGCTCCAACTTCTATGACATAAATTCATGTTTCTAATTCCAACATAAATTTTGTAGGAATTCATCAGCAAACGAAACAAACAATGAATCAAGTAAACATACCAGTAATTTTTTCAATTTACAAAGTAAACGTCTCCATGGATTTTCATCCCATCATACAGAAACAGCCAACCATTCATCAGGGCTACGCAATTGAATTACGGATAACCGTAATCAAGTATCCTGCCCACATCACGCCAAATCAACACCCCTTACTCAATTAATGAACGCTCTATCAATTTCCCTGTACCACTCGACCCGTCTTCTGCTCTCAAAACAGATTAAGTGAAAAAAATCACGGAAACAGAGAAAGAACCTATTCCACTCCCTCCCCTTGTTTTTTTTTTCTTATTCCGTCATTGACTACTTATAACACATATTACAGCCAAACAACATAGAATCAAAGCATGAAGAGAATGAAGGCAATGAAGGAAATGGAAAGACCTGGCCACCCAAGCGTAAGACGATGTAGGGGTCACTGCCGCGGGTGTCTCGGAAGACGAGGTTGACCCCTTTGATGACTCGAACCCTGAGAAGCCCAATAATGGATTCCATAGTCTTTCTCCCTTCCAGCTTAGTCTGGCTTTCTTCTACTAGATCACTGATTGTTGTTGCTTCTCTCGATATCCTCCTAATCTTCAGCGGTTCCTTTCGGCTCCATCTGTGTCAGGGAAGAGGATAAGCACCTGAGAGTCAGTCGTTAACGAAGAGAAGCCGAGCGGTAGAGATGACCATTGTCAGAGCACTGGAAAGCGGCGAACAGGTCAATGTCCGGCGCATTGACTACTGCCCGACCATTTTCGCACCTGAAAATAAAAATGGAATCTCTGCTATTTGCGGAAACGAATTTAAATATGTCACATAATTTTAAAATTTTTTTAATTATTTTAATTTATAAAATATATTTTAATTTTGAAAATGAGAGGAAAAAGTAAGTGTTCAGATAAAAAAAGATATGCATAATGCGCGCGACCCAACCCCGCCCTTGATCCAACCCGTTCCATCTAGAGAAAGCAATACAATAAATATAGAGATCAGAACATTTCACATTTGAGGTTCATTCGACATTTCATACTTTGAGTTTAGCATCAACTTCTCTACGATTTGTAGAATGCTTGTCGTTCAGTATCTTCTATCCCGAGATTCTTCAATTGTATTAATGTTAGACTTGGACATTTTGTCCTTTTTCTTTCTTTAGTTTCTTTTTTTTGTTTGTCGATATCTCCTCATCCTATGACACAATATCTATGCTTATCTCCCAACTTAACAGCCAAGAAAAAATTGAGAATCTCGTAAGAATCAAAATAAAACATACGACTATTGTTGTAAACAAGCCGAACACGAGTGAGCCCAGGCTCTGCTCGTGTTCGGCTCGTTTATGTTTCAAGCTTAAAAATTATGTTCGTGTTCGGCTCGTTTGCTTAGCGAGTCGAACATGAGCCTTTCACGAACACCAACCCTAATCACATAGTCATAAGATGTTAAGGATTGGCAATCAGGTAGCCATACGATAGGAAGGATTAGAGCAATATTTAAATATTATTGTTTATATTAAAACATCATTTGAATCTAATTTAATAATTTTTGTTTTATTTTCTTAATTAATACTTATAATTGATTATTAATTTTTTAAAAAATATTACTCATCAAAGAGATATATATATATATATATATATATATATTTGATTAGTAGTATTTCGAGCAAGCCAAAATGAGCCAAACACGAACAAACAAATTTGTGTTCGCGTTGTTCATGTTTTGCTCGTTAACTTAGCGAACGAGCCGAACACGAGCTTCATAGCGAGCCGAACACGAGCTGTTCGCGAACAACGAGCCGTTTTGAGTGCCCTACATACGATAATTGCAGTTGATCCAATAGTTATTTTTTTAGTAAGTAAATCTGATGATATACAGACAAATGTGAGATAATAAATACAATAAATATAGAGATCGGAACATTTGACATTTGAGGTTCATTTGACATTTCATATTTTGACTTTAGAATGCTTGTCGTTCAGTATCTTCTACCCCCGAGATTCTTCAATTGTATTAATGTTAGACTTCGACATTTTGTCTTTTTTCTTGTTTAGTTTTTTTTTTTTTATTTGTTTGTCCATATTTCCTCGTTCTCTGACACAATATGTATGCTTATCTCCCAACTTAACAACGAAAAAAAAATTGAGAATCTCGTAAGAATCAAAATATAATATACGACTAGGGGTGTAAATGAGCCGAACACTCGAGCTAAAAAATTTTGTTCGTGTTCGGTTCGTTTGCTTAGGGAGCCGAACACAAGCCGTTCACGAACAAAGAGTCGTTTTGACAACCCTAAGATATGAAGGATTAGGGTAATATTTAAATATTATTGTTTATATTAAAACGTCATTTAAATCTAATTTAATAATTTTTATTTTATTTTCTTAATTAATACTTATAATTGATTATAAATCTTTATAGCCTTGTAGTCAATTAATTTTTTTAAAAATACTACTCATCGAGTCAAACACGAACGAAAAAAAATTTGTTTGTGTTGTTCATATTCTGCTCGTTAGCTTAGCATACGAGCCGATCACGAGCTGTTCGCGAACAACTAGCCGTTTTGACTGCCCTACATACGATAGTTGCAGTTGATCCAATAGTTGTTTTTTTTTGTAAGTAAATCTGATGATATACATACAAATGTGAGATAATCATTGTTTTTTAATGGTTCTGTTTTTTTTTTATTGAAGATTTTTTTGTCTTTTGGTGCATGCTCCTAAAATACAATTCTGCTGTATTGGTTTTACTGACTTACCTCAGTGCAACCGATACAACACAGTTGTACTAAAGGAATGCAACAATGTAACTATTAGAAAAAAAAAAAAACTGAAAAACAAATGATTGATTTTTTAATTGTGCAGCCATGTTGGTGGTTGTACTGAGGGAACTCAATACAATCGATACAACGCGGTTGTACTGAAGTAAGATAGGAATGTAGATTTTTGTTTAAATCTAAATAAAAAAAGGGTTTATAAAAAAATTGAACTTTTAATTTTTGATATTCTTCGTACCTATGATTTTCTAATTATTTCTCATATACAAACATATTGTAAATGTTGTACTTATGTACCTCAGTACAACCGATACAACATGATTATACTGAAGTAATGCAACAGTGTTGAGTTGTGTTTAAAATTTGAATAAAAATAAAAATAAAAAATGAGTACATAGATAAAATGAAATTTTAATTTTTGTTCTTCCTCGTACATACTACGATTGCCTGATTATTTCTCTTGTACAACCAAGTTATACATCTGTGCAACCGTGTTATCAGTTGTACTGAAGTAAGGCAGCAATGTCGAACTTTGTTTAAAATTTGAATAAAAAATATGTATATAATTAGAATGTATTTTTAATTTTTACTTTTCTCTATGATGGATCGACTACCCGCTAAAGGCCCTGCAAACAAGGGAGCATCCTTTTACTCTTCTTTTTTCATTTAGCTTGAAATTTTGTTAGTGTTAAATGAAAAGACTTGTAATTCTTTACACGTTACTGAAATGAAACCTTATGCATTTTCGTAATCACTTTTGCCAGTTGGGCTTGTTGCAATTTTTTTACCCGAGATATTGGCCTTCGAAAAAGCTTGCTCTCGGGTCAGCCTATGGGTTTAGTAAAATCGAGTTAATCAAAACGCTTCGATAGGTTGACTTTTATTTCTTTCTTTCACCTACATCGGGTTGTTTCTTAAGCAGATACCAGTCCAGATCAATTTTTCCTCTGACAAAAATCATGTCATTACCTAAGAGGGTGATGATCAGGGTTTTTAAGGATGACTTTCACTCCCATTTTGTGGATCTTATAGAGGAGAGAGTCATCCCTAGGTAATCTATTGTTCAAACTCATCGTCGGCTAGTGGCCGAAAGATATCAAATTTTTCCGACTGATTACGCGATTGCCGATTAATTTCCCTAGAATTGATGGGTCTCTTAGTTGTGTTTCTAAACATCTCTGGGACTTACCCCGGTCTGGCCATCTCATGCGGGTCCTTATCCCTTTGCCACCCATCAAGTAGGGATACTGTCATCGCCTATGGGGGGAACGTCACTTAGGACTTTCGGGGGATGCTGACTGCTCTTTGTGGATTTTACCATTAGTGATCAGGGGAAATTCACTGGCCTGTAGGTCTTACGAGGGAGTTTCTATTAGGTGGTGGATTTTTTTTTTATCGTTTTGTGATGCAGTCGACCGACCACGTTTGGCCGTCTCGAGTTCCCCGAGTATCGGGCAAGCGTTTGAAAACATGCCTGGTTAAGCCCCATTCATTGAGTCTTGGGACCACTCCACATTTAATGCCCTTCTTTGAGAACTAGTGATGCATTAAGAGATGTTTGATGTAATGTTTTGTTTCCTTCTCAAGAAATGAAATGACGCGGTGTCCCATCAATGTGTTGAGTTAGCAAGATTTTGTAAGGTGGTCCCTCCACACAAACAGTGAACTTTTTTTCCCTATATAAAGGAGGGAGAGGTTCACGGTGTCTTAGCGTTTTCAACATGTTTGTCGAACTTGTGAGGGCAGAGAGCGGTTGGATGACTCCTTACACTGTTGGTGGTGGAGAAGATGTTCAATTGATGAGAGTTCTCGTTGTCTTGAGACTAGAGCCCCCATTTTAACTTTTTCCTTTTTGCGAGTCATGAACTGAAGGGAGGGTGTTTTCTATGAGTCAGGCATCGAACATCACATGAGTCAAGTTAAATATTCAAGTAGAGAACCTTCCCACGAACTGATGGGGTGGACTTCTGAGGGGTGCTAAACTCATTGCCTTAAGAGGACAATGTGTATGTTCTGTCGTCGTTGCTAGTTGTGTGAGGTTCGTTATGGCTATTTATGGTCACGGCAGATTGCTAGAACTCTACAGGAGTGTGGGCAAGGATTCCTTTCACTCATGGTTGCATTCTGCCTTTTGAGCAGAGACTTATGGGCATGAAAGAACTCTTAGGCCCAATCGGGAGGGAACTGAGCTAGATCTCTTTGGAGAGAGGTGACCAGTCAGACAACATTTCTCCTGCCCCCTTGTTTCCCCTCATAAGTGTTTCATATGTGTTTGCATATATAAGTTTAATGTTGATCATACAAACATGATCAATACAAGTAAGAAAAATTATTTCAAAAGGGGTTCTAAAATGAACATATCATATCAAAGTTTCTTGAATGGGGAATGTGAATGGTATAATGTGTTGACGTCACAATTGTGAGAATCTCTTCTCTCTTTATAGGAACTTAGGATTTAGCCTTAAGAATTCTTAGTGACTTTATTAGATGACTAAAGATGGAACCCACCCACTTAGAACTTCAAACCAATGTTACACTCACTTAGGGATTCATGAGGTTAGACCCAAAAACTCAACTATTTGTTGAGATGGTTTGGGTGTAGAATAGTAGAAGCCCAAGTTGGATTTCTATAGGTAAGGAATACCTTAGGCAAACCAAAATTTTGCATAGAATCATAGGAGTCCATGCGGTGAACTGCACCACCCTGACAACCTCTTTGATCAAGAAGAATCTCATTGGGCATGAGGCTAGTACTTGGCTAAAGAAGGGTTCACCTATAACCCTAAACTAGAAGCATAAACATCAAAATTCAAACTAAAAGGGAGGTTGAGTTACCAACATCAAAATTTGATCTCACCTAATGCTTTCCCCAGCACAAACCAACCCTAAAATCAACATAAACAGTAAACACATCATCAAAACTTGGAATCACCAAAATGCACCAAATTATCAAGTTAGTTAATGAATGACTAAACCTATTAAAATGAAATTAAAATAAATTCAAAAA